GTTTCACTGTTTCTTTACTAAAAAAATGTTATCGCGAGAAAATAGACTCAAGCCATAAGCCCGAATGCACGTCCGGATAATTCGTTCGCACATCTATTCGGCGGGCGAGGAAGCCCATGTTTTGGGAAGGACTTCACCAGGATTAGTCTCCCTCGGCTTCATACATAGTTCTACTGGGAAGGTAGAAATTCGGACCTTACTTAAGAAGCTGCGAGCTCGTTCGCGGTGTGGTTGCTCTCTGTGACCGTCTGTAGATATATAAAATAAACAGAGTCTACAAGAGACCTGTTCCGCGCTCCCATGACTCCTGCCCAAGGTCGAGAATGTTCTTGGCACGGCCCGGCCCCAAGGGAGCTCGTCAACTCGGAGGGAAAACACGGTCGCAACCAAACTCGCACACGATGCAGCTGGGCGAGCGGCGTGCATAGCTTTGAAACCCAAGTGCCAGGTCGTGCCATGTAGCTTGGGGGCGCTATGGGCAGCTCCGTTATAGCGTCTTGGGACTACCATCCTTAAACATTTGGTGCAATGGGCTTGTACTGCAGATTGCATGCACTGTACAATACATGCAGCACCAGCAAACAAAATGAGGGCCATCGCACAAAAAAAATTGGGGAATTGTTTCTTACAAGTATACCCTCTTAGTCGCTTCAAACGTTGAAATAGACTCCAGAGCTTCATTTTAGGTATTGGTTAGATTGGGATCGTTCAGTGTGTCTGATTAAAGGCGAGGCCATGGCTTTGTGCCGGAGAATACCGCTCTCGGCCAACAATGAATTTTTTCGCAGTTCACGCGCCCAAAAGGGGCCATTTCTCGGCGAGAACTAATTCTTACCTACCTGCCGATAGCAAAGAGATGTCACACGACCATGTAGGTGCTTGTTTTGAGTACTTATTTATTCGCCGATAGACATCAGGATACGTGAAACGAGAATGAATCGGCACTTCCAAATGAAGCACGGGCCGTCACCCTTGTTAAATAGCAGAAGTTCCCGATGCAACTTTTATTTTATCGTTTCACCTGCAGCATACGGTACGTAACAGACGATTCATCTTTTTGGGGTTCTGGTAGCAGACGACGCGAAGGCGTCTTGTTTACAGTGGCGAATGACACTTTGTGGCAGCCGAACCCTCCCTCTTTACTCGCGTTGGCAGACGACGTGCCGGCTAAAGAACTGTCAGCTCCTTCAGTGCAAGCCAGCCGATATCTCAATCTCACCAAACAGCAGAATCTGGCCACTGGCACAATATTTCAAGGTACAAACACAAACTGCACAGCACGGCGCCAAAGCAAACTTGCTGCAGATAAAAACGAGGCTTCTAAGCTGTCCATCAAAGCTCTCCAAAGTATGACAGTACAGCGACCGTTCTCGGCAGCGTGCACTGCTTTCCCACAGCGTTACGGGAAAGTTTTGTGACCAGTAACGGATTGAAGGAGCCGGTCACTACTGTAAATGTGCATGTATCATTACACAAATAATGGAGCTCGGTGAATTGAGCAACTGTACGCAAGCTGATTTGGTCAAGCATGCTAACATAGAGCAGATCAAAAACGTGTGCTAGCACGTCACCAGGAGTTTAGATAAAAAATAACTGTACAAAATAGTACTTACTGCATTTCTCCAAAATTGATGCTCTGAACGAAGGCTATTTAGGGTCTGGTGCTTGGCCCGCTTGCACGCGAGGGAGGATGTCCACCCCAGACATTTTGCTTGGCCACACGCAGTGGTTCGTACTCACGTCGAACCAGGACAGAGGGACGGGCGCCATGGTTATTTCGTCATTCTCTTTGATGAGTTCTACTCCTCCTCACTAGAATGAAAGGCGTTGTCAGACATGCCGTTCATTCAAGACTTCGTAACCTTTAGCGTACATTATAATAGCTACATGGCTAGATCCCCATGCACGGACGCAAGGAAGCACGACGACGTCGCATTTGGGTATACGCTAAGTAATAGTAGTAGTGGTCGAAGAGAAACGAACGGTGCTCATTCTGCGTAATGGTATGTTTACACCGCGCTTTGTAGTTTTTTACTTTCAACGGTTTTGCAATACCGAGGTTTCGCGCGAGATGCTAATTTATATCTAGTGTTTCAAGCAACAGCAATGTTGTTTCGACTATAGTTCGTTCCCCTTAAGCTGAGACTAGAAGCTCCGCCTTCAGTGCAAGCTTTCTGCCCTTGCAAACACAAGCGTGAACGCGCAGGCAGTCGCATGCACTCAAAGCACTGCGGAAGCCAGCGAGCTCGCGCTGAAGGCGAAGCTTCTAGTCTCAGCTTAAGTATGAACGGAGTATAGTGAGAAATGTTTCGAAATATTGTATTATGTTGAGTGGAAGATGATTCACTAGGCCAATGCACGGCCAAACCGACAAAACACGAACATCAAAATCAAAGCACGGACGGATAACTTCAAGCAATTTTTTTTCCCGCATACATTTACATGCCGCGCTCTCACTCACCACCACGGTCACATAATTTTTTTAACCCTGCAGGCACTGTGCCTGAACCGAACCATGCCTCCAACCACGCGGTCCAGAAACAAGCTTGATGCAACCTTTAGTGGTGATACAAGAGGGGGCAATCGGTACGTCTTTCTTTCGTCGTTAGACAGTTTACATAATACTACGCACAACAGCTCCACATCACTTAGCTTTGCTGGCTCATTATCAACCTACTTTATTGCACTTGACGTTTGAGCGGGGCTCGTCTAATTGTGATTGGTCAACAGATGCACGCGACCATATGGGCCACGCGCTTCAAACACTTTCATTATCGCCGTCTTGTATAGTTTTGTTTTCGAAAACCCTCCTTGCTCCAGAGCGTTGCTCTATCCGTTCTGCCATGTGAATCATTAGAGTAAATTTGAAACATAACCATGGTTAATAGTGCATAAGAGCAACCATGCAGATAGTTTTCATCCCTTCCTTGACCGAAACTCGCCGGCACAGCTGAACGATCCCGAACTCCGTGGCCGATATATGATGGAAATACACCTACGCGCGACACACCTTCAAGACTTTGCCGCGGCGCTGATTATTGATCAGTATCCAAGCGTGCGAAGACACAGATATGCACCGCTTTGGCGTGCCAAGGAAGCTTTGATCACGCCGCGAGACTGGCGAAACTTGCACCCGATGAGTTGTGCCTTTTTACTGCGGCACTGCGGTTCCGTACAAATTTCCATGTACTCTCAACGGCTAGGCTCACGGCTTACACAGGGTTTTATGAAGTCCTTCGGCGAATGACGACGAACGAGTAAAGAACGTGCCTTCACCATGCTGCCGACAGCCTCCGCAACGTTCCAAAACCTGATTTTTGACATGCAAGATGGCCGTCCGGTGGCTTCACTCGCGGGAGAGTGCGATCCAGCAATTGTCGTAGAGATCAGTGGCTCGGACGCAAGGAGGTTAGAAGGACTATGAAGGGGCACGTTGCAATATTGATGAAGCGTAGTCATAAAAAGTTTAAACGATATTGTGCCCAGCGTGACCGCAGATCTCTCTGACGATTGGTGCGCGTGACATGTCACGTGCAAGATGGATGGTTGATTGTAGGAGGATTCCTTGCAGGCTTGCGCGCGCTCCGTCCGGTAGGTTTTATCAGATCGAAGGCTAGACGAAGGCTAGCTACGGTCACGTAATTTGGTCATGTTGGGCTGATTAGTGAGGAGAGTAAGGAGGAAAATGAGAACGAGGCGAGGCTTTAAGGGAGCATGGCTTGTGGAGGCTACGCGGCTTACGTGATGCCCCGTTCTACCCTTCTATTCTCCATGCTTGGACGGCAGATTCCCGGCCTCGGTGCCTGCCGTACGGATTATGTCGACCGTTCCGTTAGTTGCGTTCTTCCACCATGATCTTGGATGAGCGTGATTGAAACATCATGTGCACCATAGTTTCAGTCACCGAGAACTACTCCGACGCACTTATTAATTTCGTTTCTCGCGACCACCACCATGGCATTATTTCCGGCTCCTGGTTGGGAACATTGAAATTTGTGAAGACGCCCTGGTACATGCCCAGCCCGCCTTTGGCCAATGGCGCCTCCTCGTGTCTCTTATTCTTGACTCCAACTATCTATAGGTGGCGCCACTCGTTTTCCGAATTGGTGGTCATAGTCACAATCGGAGATGCGTGCCTCTGTTGAGCCTGTCTAGTGTGCCAGTCAGCGAAAACTCCATGGCTAGACTGGCCGGTGACCACAGGAAGAAGACGATGTCGGCCCGTATCAGGAACATTCCGACTGGCACTGGCCAGTTTGGACAACGAGTCCCCGATGTCGGCCGGGGCCGGTTTTTTGCCGGCGTCCCTGGCTGAGATCCGCCGTACAGCTCCCTGTACTGGCCGACGTAATCCCAGTATCGGCCGACATCGTGTGCTACCTGCCCAGAAATCAGCGAAACCTATTAATTGATGAATAACTCAATTAAGTTATGGATAATTATAGAGTATAAATATTTTACAAATCAGAGGCCAGGATTAGCGTTTAAACAAATTTATCGATTTTCATCAATACCACATTTTCTAGCGGTCGCCTACTACATAGAACTTCTACAAATTCGAAATATAGACGTGAGGGTTCGTTTATTGCCACATTATAATATAATAAAATTCCAAACAACACACAAAGCCACGTTGCACGACGTTTGTTACCGATCTGTTGAAGGTTCTTGCAAATTTTAAGAATGAGCTTTGTTCCACAATCCCTAATTTTACAAAACGTAAAACAAGATTTCGATTGTTGTAAGAATCCCCGTACAAAAATGATCGTGCATACCAAGATTCTAAAGCAACAAGGTTTTATTCGTAAGCAAATTAAGGCGGAAGTGAAATGCAAGTATTCCACTCTTGCGGACATTGACTTTTATTGTTTTTATATGGCTTCAGCATTTCCGGAATGCAAACCATTGTTTTCCTTCCAGTTACGTCAAGCACATCTCCCATAAAAGACTATAAAATTACTGAGATATGTTAGTCCTCTATGAGTCCTGTCCAATAATTTATGATGCTGTTCCGACCAGTTTGGATTCTCGCTTTAGCAGGAATTTGTAAGTAATTTGAGAATATATATATAATCGCGATAAAATGCTACGAAGGAATTACTTATAAAATAAAACAAAAAATATAGGTATGAAAAATGTTTTACGAGGCAACTCAGTAATGCTTCTTCCACTCTAAAGTATTTGGTTTAAAAATGTTTACGCACTAATTGCATGTTTAGCTTTAGAATGCATAGCGCTTATACGATGCATTTTCAAATAAAACGTTTTGTGAGTGTTTATTAGGCTCCATACCACATCATCTTGAGAGGCGTTTGTTGTATTTCTTGTGATTTTAATATTTCCAACATTTTAGTTTGTCAACTTAGACCCAATGTCGTTTAAAGTGTACAGGTCTCCTCAAACATAACGCCACCTCTCAAATACCTAAATATTGATAAATTGTTGGCTATTCAAAGCAAAATTGTTAATTGAAGCAGGTGTAATATATTGCCTTGTGGTGGGTTGTGATCATGCAGTCAACATTTTACGACGTAGTTTGACCGGTAGGCCAAAAATAGCATAAAAAGTACAATAAAACAGTACACCTTGTGGCGACATTCAGTATAGGTAACATTGTACCTTGTGCATACATTAAAATTATCAAAATATGTGGTACCTTATGCATGTATAAAATATTTAAATTCAACGCTTTCCAAGTGTCTCTTTTAATAAAACTACGAGACCAACCTATTTCTTTTCCAAGTTTTGAGATAAACTTGGTTCCAGAATAGCTTAGAACTCATCGGAGTTAAATGCAAAACGCGAATAAGATTATCAACCGACTTATGTACACCTTTAGAGCGCCACCGCGGTTCCTACGTGGTCTACATTTTTTATGTACTATTGTAGTGGCTTCCCATGACGCTCAGCAAGTGCTTAATGAAAGTATACGTATATTTTCGCACGTAAAAATAGAAATAAAACATATTGACATTATTTATTTAACATTGTGGCAATTAGCTCCTTATAGTATATCCCCCTGATTGTTTAACTCACCTGTTGAAACCTAATTAGTCTAGCTTTCTCAGCTTTTTTAAACAAATTTGTAATGCCTAAAAAAACTCCATCTATCTACATAGAAGAGGTCATGTTGTGTGGCTTTGTTTCAAATCGAACGTGGGTGTAGGGGTGGAGATTATAATTTGCCTCAGTACATATTAAATTATAGCCCCGTTTCCGCAAAGACCATATCAACAATTTTTCCCCATTAAAGCGGGAAGAGGAGGAAGTTGAAAAACGACATTTAAATTGCTTGATTTTCGTTCCCAGTTTTGTCGGTTGTAAAATGATGTAGGAACAAATGCACTCACAGTAGTTATGTCTTCAACTGTACAATTCTCGCCCTATTTTTACTTTTAATTTAACATGCGCTGGCGGATTTTATCCCATAAATAAAAAATGCTAAGCAGAGCATCTTTGAAGTTTTGATGACATATTTGACGCCTTGTATTTTAGGATTACTTATATTTTTTTGCTTATTAAATGCCATATGCCTGCATGCCTATGATGCGCTATCGGCTGGTGACAATTCAATTCAATTTTTTTTCGCAAAATAATTTATATTAATTTTTTTTTATTTCGTCGGAAACTAAATCTAGAGATAAATTTAACTTTATTAGTAAAGGCATTTTCTATTTTTTTTTTATTATTTTTTTTGTTGTTTCCGTTAATGTTAAATTTCAGTTGGCAAAATAGAAGTTTCCCTTTTCTAGTATTTTCTGTAGAATTGCTGAAACACAAATACGTGCACCCGCATTGGCACAGATGTAGTTTGAAACTTTGATTTTACTGCATGATTCTTTAACCTTTAAAATTTAACGGCAGAAGGCGGGAAGTGTTTGCGACATGAAGGGGTGGCTTAAAGTGGCGATGGAAGAGAGAGAGTGGTGTGGACGTGCCGATTATATAAACACAAATGTCTGCCCCTATCCCTCTTGTGTTTCAACGCCATTGGCTAAGCACGTGTCTTTTCTTTTTATTTTCTTGAGGGGAGGTGGGGGGGGGAGTTTTAGTTAGGACACCAGAGTCAGGCTGCGCATTTTTGTTCATCTTAGTATATATTTTTATTTCTTTATCTTTCATATTGTCTGTATTTCTCTGCTGTTTAAAACCATAAGACGAGAAATGCAGCCGGCAGTTTTTGTGGTGCAGCTATCATTGCACTCCTCGGCTCGAGATTTTTACGTTTGAATTTCCTTGTGTCCAGTTTTATCAAAGGTCGTCGTTATGCAAAAAAAAAAAAGCATTATGCAAAAAAAAAAAACACCATAAAAAAAACTCCCTGTTCAAAAACCTGTAGTATTTATATGACATCTGGAGAAAAGCAAATTTGTACGTTAGTGTCTACTACGCGGCTGCCGCTTGCCGTACGACAGCCGTATGGTGACAGCAGCAAAATACTTAGTTTTCTCACCTGCATTCTCAGTTTAACGTTTAAGCTGCCAGAATATGTCTACGATGCTATTAAGAAGCAATAAGTTGTCAATACACTGTCATTTTGGTGCTTTGGTATAAAGGCTTCAGGGCAGAGAATAACCGAAACATACAATGTGGGGTGGATATAAAAGTATCTTCATGATCGCGTAATGAATCAGTGAACCTGGTCAAAACGCAAATTACTTAAAGCGGTTTAGATGGAAATCACATGGAGTTTCGAAAAGTAATAATTATCAAGTGATTATCTAAGTTTAAGATAAAAACGTATGGGGCCGAAATATATTAAAAGCGTTTTTCCAGCAATGGCAGGCGTGCCCCTCAACAGAAGTGCAATTATTTCTGTTTCTGCTTTCAAATACAAGCGGCTGCCACGCGGCAAAGCGCAGTTTGTATCCGTCAATACAGGATAACTTTTTTATTTTAGCATTCGTTGCTTCCCTGGAAACTACAAGCGAATTTTCGGCAGTTAATACGTGTTCCCTTTATAACATCCGGCAAAATAAAGCGCTTACAAAAGAGCATTTTGAGTGGTGCCTCTAGTCAGTCTCGCGCTATCGCTGGACCCTGTGGTATCTGGACAAAAGTCATATCATAGCGATTCAGTATGGTCAAATGAGTCACAGCCCTGCTCGAATCTAGAATAGGGAGACCAATGAAACCTTGGGTTTTGTAGATTTCAGAACGATGCGGACAATAAAAGTTTACGTTTTAAACGGGGGTATGTTATATGATGAAATAAAAACTGACTCTGACTCTAACACTAGCGTTAAAACAATGCTGTATATTTTGTTTGATTTTTTTTCTAGGTTCTTGCTCTTACCCATCCCGTGAGAAAGGGTACGTCTGTGCTTTTCCTCCGGAAGTGGGTGCTGCTGTCGAACATGGTATCGAAGCGTGGTATTACGATTCAAAAGTTGGTAAATGCTCGAAGTTTTTAAGGTATCGCGACGCAGTGCTTGGACTAAACCGATTCGATAACGAGACTCAATGCAATGCCAAATGCAGACGTAAGTTGCATTCATTTTCTCAAATGATTTTACTTCGGAATTTTGATTTCTTCTCGATGCTCTACCACTTTTTTTTTCTTACCTTTTATTTTTTGTGTTAAAGTATAATTCTCTTACCTTTGCCCTTGCACAACGCATCAGTGCTTCAAATCGATTACGTGTTTTAGGCCACCTTAAACACGTAATTTTTAATCACTGTAATGGGTAATCAACGCAGAGCAGAGGTTTATAAATCAGGAAGCTCAAGTAAACCCGTTAATATACTGCAGTAACAGTATTACGTAGTCTGCCGCCAATGTGTGATGAGAATGTAATAGTACATATGTGTAGGGAACTTGGGTCATTACAAACAAAAGCAACCTGTATAAACTAAGCAAAAGCAGGGAAGTTTCATTATGATTATACAAGAGGGCGATTAACTGTGCAGGGTGGATTCTACAATGGAGAGAAAATGACAGGGAAAAAGGAGGAAAGTCAAGGCGAGAACTTGGGAACGGACATTTGAGCTTTGTAGTAATGGATTCCGAATTCAGGTTAAGAATTACGGAACAAAGGGAGGGAGGCAAAACCCTACTGACAAGATTAAACTTAACATGAAACTCGTAAAGAGTTTTTTTCCAACACTTCCTACACTTCATCTTCGACCTTTTAATTGAAAGCAGCCGGCTGCGGTCGGGAACAATTTGGGTAATACCGACACCTCTCAGATGACAAAGCCTTAGTGCTGTACTTACTAAGTCACTTACAGTATAGGAAAACAACTGGCACAAACCGGACACGAGCGCTTGCTGTATTAGCGTCGGGCTCGAACAAGAGGACCGGTCGAACGCTAAAGCAGTCTCATGTTTAAAGCTGCGCCCCGTGCTGTCCTCTGGTGGATGAACTAGAAATGTCAGCATTGCGGCCGTTTTATCTGGAAGGTTCTGTTAATACGTAATGAGCTACCCTCTGCTCTTTCACAAGGAACTTATGCACTACAGAGGGGCGCATTCTCTTAATTTCCGAGTTTCGTTTTTTGCAGCGAAAACCAGTAATTGGCCGAGACCTGATGATATTTGGTAATTATGGCCGGGCATCAGTCTCACACTTGTTTTAACATCTGACGCCAGTGTTTTCAACGGTTTTGATATAATTTCAAAAATAAATCATTGCTGAAAAGCTAAGTTCGATGGTTAATTGCCTATTTTTGTACATTTCAATTCAAGCTGACGTACCCAGCTACTGTTTTGAAAAACCTGATAATGGCGGCAAGCACCGCTCGAAGTCCATGTGGACTTATAATTCTGCCGTCTCACAATGCGTCCGTTTTCAATGGAGCGGAGGTGATACAGGAGGGAAAAATGTGTTTCATTCAAATCAAGAATGCATAAGCAAGTGCGAAAGTAAGTTACTGGCTTTAAACCCTTGATTCGCTTTTATTTCATCATCTTGATTGCTACCAGCGTTTCGTTAGCGACAGTGCTATAAAATCCCAGCTAAATTTAATCGCGCACTTTAAGCGACATAAATGTTTGCACGTTGGTTTTCTTTATTATTATGATCAAAAGCTTAACAATAGAAGTTTTTTTTGTTGTTGCTCCCTTTGCATTATTCATGAATATTGCCGCGCGCGCAGCTGGCCAAGTAGGCAGCGCGCGCGTGGCCTAACGATTATCGCGCTTGCCTGCCACGCGAAAAGCTAGGGTTCGAATCCTGGGAGTGACGTGTCTTTTGTTTATTCCTGCAATTTAGTGTTCTGGAGAATTCGAGAATCATGTTGCTTGTTCCAGGCCCGAATGTTCTACGCGTCGAAGTTTCTACGTCGATTATTCCAGAAGACCACTCATGTACATAAGGGGCTCCGCGTGGCGAGCCACAGTCAGTTTCGCCCCAGCGTTCGACTGTGCTGCTACGCCGACTTCGACGCCCGCGACGCTCTGTTATTATCTTTGTACTCTTTTATTTTTGGCACAAGTTCGCCACATTAAACGTTTATTTATTCCTGTTTACTTCTTGTTCATTGGTCTTCACCCGTGACAATATCATGTGTAGCGGATGCAGAGCAATTAGTATTATTTTTAGCTATTTATTTATTAATGCTACAATCCCAAGGTGGGATGCAGGCAGGCGCGTAGTGCTGCAAGTAAAACAGGCTGGCAAAACACAAACAATGAAAAAACGTTCAAAGCAATAAAAATAAATTTACTCCTTAATGATACTAATCTAGATGGGAGATTTGTTAATGCCTCCTAATTTTTTTTAAATGATTTCAATAACAGGCATGATTCGTTCAATCCCATAAACGTTTGTTTTTATTTCTTCAGTGTTTTCCCGTTGTGATTTTTTAAAGAAACATTTTCTACCAATTTTGTGCAGTTTCTTGGAGGAATCAAATATAAGAAAAAAGTTTCGTAAAAGTCAGCTTAAAGTTTATTTTGGTGTCACATCGATTGTATTTAGAGTCGTTTCCGCCTGTGTCTACGCTTCAAGTGCGGTTTGCGAAATTCAATATTAGCACTGTATTCAAAGTTTAAACTTCGGACTTTCCCACAATCTCAAGAAAAAAGGGTGTATCGTTACACCCCTTGTCACATATAATACACCCCAAAACTTAATTTAGAAGTACTGAGCCCTATAGTCGAACAGACGGCACCAAAGTTTACGAGGGGCTTGATAACGGTGCGATGTAACTTATTGAATAGCTAAAGTACGCATCAAAGACCACATAAAGAAAACACCGAGTTTTTGCAGTAGGGCCAAGAAAGCCCCGATTCTTTTTTTTTTTTTTTGTAGTGAATAAAACGTACATTAGCTATTTTAATAAGTTGTACCTTAGGCTATCAAGTGCCTCGTAAAATTTGGGGCCGTCTGTTTGACTGTAGTGCGCTGGACGTTGAATTGAAATTTGGGGGTGTATTATATGGGACAAAGGGTGTAACAATACACTCTTTTACACCCTTTTGTCTTGAGAGTGCATTGTCATCATAATAGGTTTAGTGTAAAGTATGTTTACCAACATATGGCGAATTTTAACGTGAAATGTTCATAATTTGCGAAGTTATTTAAATATGGCTGTGGCTTATTTCAGTTACGCTAAACTTCGGTTAATTAAGATTTAAAAAAAAATCATATGTGGGAGATTGATTTATGCAATCAAGAAAACTGCCCTTGAAAAACTAAAGAAAGAACGATTGACAGACAAATCATCTAAAGTGCCTTGTAGTAGAATATAGGGCGAAAACTTTTTTTCCTCAACTGTAGCCTTTGTATTCAATAGAATTTCTTATAACGTTTTTAACTAAGATTGTGAATCACGCAATATTTATAGAAGACATTTGTTTAGGAATAACCTAAAGTCACCATTTTTGTTTGAAGCTTTCTAATACATTTTATTCACGAATGCCCACGACATTCCGCCATCGTTCATGCTTTCCTTTTAATCATGCATCGTTACCGAAAGGTTCCTGTCTTTAACCGCGCATTGCCTTTCTTGATCTACATTAGAGTTTTTCACGAAAGGCTGTGTTCTGACACTAATTTACGACATTGTATTTTCTCAAAGTTCCTGACCTCGGTGATTGCGCAAAGCCACCAACAAGTATATGCAAGAAAAACGATGATGATTGGTTTCGATTTGATAAGAAGACGCGTACCTGCCGAAATTTCGAAGATCACGAATGTCCGAATAGGGAGGGAAATACATTTAGTTCGGTTCAAGAATGCAACCGACGGTGTGGACGTAAGTAAATTTTAAGTATTTGCACCAATATGGATATTAAAAAATACGTCTTATTAAAATGTAAAGACGCGCAGAATTTTACTTACTTGTATCCTAATCAAAAAAAAAATTTAGGAATGTTCTCTTCTTTAACAAGTAAAAAAAATTTAAATACATTTTTGAGCCCTAATTGAATTGTTTTCAACATTAGAGAGAGTTGATCAAACTAATATACACATTATTTGTTTTGACACAGAATAAAGAAAATATTTAAAACACAACAAATGGATTAATACCTCATGCTCATATCTTTTTTATCTTAAGGTAACAGCTTAGAGAGCATTCATCATTTGTATCAGTAATCTAGCTAGACCATAAAGTAAATTTTAGTTTTCATCCACTGCATATTTTTCACGATAGTCTGACCGGAAAAAATGCCACTAGAACATTTTGCACGAATATTGTTTTGAAATTAAAAAAAAATCTAACTATTTTGTTTTCACCGGAACAAATATTGTGACGGGCAGAAAACGGTAGATCAATCTAAAAACTTAAAATACATGTTCACTGAGACGAACTTCTGTCTACAAACTAAAACAGAAAGGTGCAACGCATCGTGCGTTGGAAGAGGGACATTCCTGGAAAGGCCAGCTACCGCTGCCTTTGTACAAGCGGTCAGATCAGAAAAATTCCAGATCAGAACACTGAATAACAGCCGAGAACGGGCCGGAAAGTTCCAGCAGAGTATAGTATTATAAAAGAAAGGTCTGTGCCAAGAAGGGTTCGAGCCCAGTTTCTCCGTGTGTCAGCCGGGTATGTTGCCAACTCTGCCATGCTCAAAACAATGCGACGAGACTGTTGTTAACTCCCTTGACAGCCAAGCTGTCAGGGGTGTAGACAAAATATAAAATTTAACTAAAATAAAAACGAAATCAAATATAAATGTTCCTCTTCCCGTCAAACACCCCTCTCTGGTAAACAAATACTACGGAAGAACTAAGAATGCACAGAAAGAATAAAACACATGAAGGACGAACACAGACACACACAGTTCTTTCAATGAGCAACGAATATTTATGAAATGCCCATGACACTACGACCGTGAACTTCAAAGAATTGAAAGAAAGAAAGAAAAGAGCAAGAACTGATATCAACAGTAATTTTATTTTACACTAATACCTGTCTTCCTGAAAGTTAACGGCAATTTTGTAAAGTTGCACAAGGTTACATTTGTCATCTTCACATTCCTTTGCTCCATCTGCGGATCTTTGTCAATTATTCAAACTGAAAAGCTTTGAAAGCCGATTTGTAAATCTGAGGACGTCATTAAGCTCGGATATTCTGATGACGTCAACTCACGTGAGGCGTGCGCTAAGCCTCTGGTGCCGATGTGGAACTGGAAACAGCATTTTAAATTTTTCACAACATAAAATCTAGCAAGAGAATTGGATATATAAGAACACAGATAGACCTTTTCACTCGCTAATTTCTGGGCGACATCATTGTGCTTGCCTCTAGCACTTTGTCTAGCCATCCATGCATTTAACTAGATGTGGCGAGATAAAAGAGAGAGTGGAAAACGCCCGCACGTAAAAAAGGGGGTCGTCACCGACTCTGCTGCCGTGCGGATCCGGATTTCCACCTTGTAGCTCCCCATAACGATTCCGGAAGGAAGCTTCGGCAGAGGTTGTTTCTCTCACAAATTTTTTGTATTAAGTCGGGAAAAAGTTCGCGCGTTTGAATCATCGACTCTATTCGTATGTACAGACTTCAATGCTACAAGAAAGAATAAAAAATGAAGGATGGACACAACAACGCGTAAGGATGGCTAGTTGGGCTAGTTGGTTTTGCATAATGGTGTAATACGCCAAAACGACAGGGACAAAAACGAAGGGAGAACTGGAGAGTACGCGGCGTAACTTTCAACTGAATTGTTTATTTGTATGACAGAATTAAAAAAAAATATAAAATATAAACGCAGGCACACTTGGCAGAACACCGAAGATATGGTCTAAAAACACACACCCCTCAAATTCCAGCGTCATTGGTTCTTCAAATAGTAGAATTTTTTATCAGTCAAGGACAAAGAGGAAGCGCTTACACAAGTATTGTCGTGGTGGGACCTAATCAGGAAGGCTTCGTGAATTTCTCTTGCCGTTTTTGTTTTGTAATGGCCCATGACACTGGTGTCACCAAAGATGTGGCTGCACTTTTCAGAGTTTGGTTCACAATCGCAACGGTCACAGTAGACCGCTAAGAGGCCAGACGGGGACCGCCTGATCGCCAACGCATGCTCTCTGACCCTATCATTAATGCACCTCCCCGTCTGGCTAACGTACACCTTACCACATGACAAGCGGATTTTGTACGTGACACTAGTGGCGCACTCGCGGAACTTAGTGACATGTCATTTTTTGCACGACTCTTGTGGCACATCCGATTCCTCTCCTAATCTGCTTATCCTAAAAAAAAATGGCAAGAGAAATTCACGAAGCCTTCCTGATTAGGTCCCACCACGACAATACTTGTATAAGCGCTCCCTCTTTGTCCTTGACTGATAAAGAATTCTACTATTTGAAGAACCAAAGACGCTGGCATTTGAGGGAAGTGTGTTTTTAGACCATATCTTTGGTGTTCTGCCAAGTGTGCCTGCTTTTATATTTTATATATATTTTTTTTTAATTCTGTCATCCAAATAAGCAATTCAGTTGAAAGTTACGCCGCGTCCTGTCCAGTTCTCTTTTCGTTTTTTGTCCCTGTCGTTTTGGCGTATTACACCACAAAACAACGCGTGTTTCGACTTGAAACCTACAGAGTTTAATGCCGACAAGCACCGAGCTGCGGAATTCTCGAGAATTCCACAGCTCGGGGTTCGCAAGCATTAAAGGCTGTACATTGCAAGTCAAAATATGTGTTATGTTTTCTTTCTTTTATGTTTTATACTTTCTTCTAATTGACTTTATCGCCAACGCGCTCAACTATCGTATATCCATGCGTATATTTGGCCACGTTTGAGTGTTCGGGTGAAGAATTTGCGTTTTGAAAAGCACAATGAGAACCAAAATTTCACATGGAATATAACTACGCGAAAACAAGTTGCTTTGGCACATTGGTTTCATTGCCAGCAGAGTCATCTTTTTCGGTGCATTGTGTCGTGTTGTGTCATATTGGAGGCAAAGGAACCTGTATGAAATGGAGAGTGCACCCTGAAGGCGGTGGCAAATCAGAACGGCTCGCCTCTCGCGTCCTGAGCGCCTACTGCCCTAATTACCTACCCTCTCTACTTGTTACAGAGTGGAGGGTTACTTTCGTTACATGTTATGGTGGCTCAGCATCAGCACGCGGATTTCTGCCGTGCGGCTTCCCATTGCGCATGTTTAGACTTGACAGGTTTAGCGAAAATTACACTTCAGTCTCTGCAACTATATTTTCGTCTTGGTACTCTGAAATAGAAGGTATTCAATCAGAGGCAATTTTTAGAGGCGTGCCGCCGTTTCGTACTTGTTGCAACATTCAAGGCACGTGTGAAGCGCTCCATACGTTTCAAAAGCCCTCTCCTGCTTGATCCTCTATGTGTAGGTGAATGCTGCCGGATTTGCCTTTTAAGATCACTCGTCGGCGTCTCTCGACTGCTAGAGACGAAAAACCCTGTGGAATATATCAAAGTGCATTTTAGTTGCCCTCCTCAGGTCTTTGTGAGTAAATTATAAAATATATAGAGGCAGGTAACTTGTGGCGATCAAATAAATTAGTAGAATTACCGGAAAATAATACGCGTCGGCGACGGCGCTAATTTTTGTTGGAATGAGTAAACCACTATAAAATATCCGTCCACACTCCATGAACGTGGCACCGTGTGCCCCGTATAAACCTTCCGTTTCACTTCATTTATATGCAAGATGAAAAAGCGACAAAGTCATAAAGCGGCAGTGTAGCGGCAGATCCATGGAGTGGTTGCTGCGTTGACGTCGAAGTATTTAGCAGCATCATTCATTTGACGCGTGATGTCCTTCAATCGTTTCCAAATTGCGTTAATTTAGTTAGCTGTTAGGACTTTATGCGCTCTGTTAGTGTGGAAAAACTGAAACAGAAAATTTCGAGTGGTCTTGACGACCATACTCAGCTCTATCATTAAATTATCATTTGAGTTACTCAGCCCTCTCCTGAAAGACATGGTCAACCTTTAGCTTAGTTTGCGCGTCTTTCCCTCGCTTTGGAAGAAGTCGGTAGTCATTCCGATTTTTAAAATGTTGTGATGCTTCCGCTTTTACAGATTATTGTTGCTTCTTTGCTTTGTGAATTTTTTCAAGGTTTTTGACCAGTCGCCTAGCTTATACCAGTGTCGCCACTCTGAGTTCCGCCACCTTTTGAGAGGTTCGCTCTTTACGTACTATGTTTTATTTTTATACTTTTCTCTATTTTTGCGTTAGCGTGTCTTGAGTGGATCATGCATATTTTGGTTTCTTTGGGGATTTGTAAAAGGGCCCGAATCTAAATACCATTGTGTTTTTGCGAACTTTAAGTAACGATTACTAATAATAATAATGTTATTTTTATTAGTAGTAGTAGTAGTAGCATTAGCATTAAAACAGACAGTGTAAAAGGTTCAGTACATATGATTTCATTTTTGTTTAGGATTTGTAAGGGACAAATGCAGGATGCCAATACAAAATATGAGTATTTGCACTACTGTCACAACAAGGTACGGCTACAATTTTGTTGATCAAAAGTGCGAGGAGTTTCACGGCTGTGACGATGGCGGAAATAGCTTTCCTTCGGCTGAAATGTGTTGGAACACTTGTGCCAGTAAGTAGACGGTTATTCTGTAAATATTGTGGTATATTACATTGTAAACCTTTAAACGCAAATTGCAACTTATTGACGTATTTATAAAGATCTTTCAAAGCATGCACATATAAAGTTACATTCTTAAAAATGCGGCCTTTTTAACAATAGTCCACAGAGAGCTTTAAGGATTCCGCACTAAATATTAAGTATGCCGGAATTTATAATATCTGTATAAGTTTCAAAAGCAGACTTTCGTTGCAACATATGTGTTTATTATTGTGTGCTTTTGTACGTCTTGATTTGAGCTATTTTCCCCAGTCTGTTATCACGCTGGCATTGTTCTATTTGCTTTATATTTTACAGCAAGCGCAAGCAACCCTTATTGAAGTTTGCCACTGGCAGCTGTTGAACTCTAAATATAGAGAAGTGTATTAACAATCATGTCGTACTATTATAACTCACATGTATATCCTAAAGATGAAATTAGTTTACGGTATTGTTTTTTTTTTTTTTATTTAGTTTGCCTAAAGCATCTTGCTATGCGTTAGATGAAGGCAAATGCAAGAAAGAGGGAAAGCGTTTGGACATGGAAAATAGATGTTAAAGCTAAAATATTATAACTATAAACATAGATGTAGGGCTGATTATGTTTTCTGCTCGCAAATATAAAATTATAGCATATGAATACAGTTTTAGTGTTGACTAAATTGCGCGATAAAATATATTTCTTGACAGAAAACACAAGAAGCCCGTGTGTAAAGCCCCGTGACTTCAGATATCACGGAGTCTATGTGAGATATTATTACGATATTAAAAATAACAAATGTGAAAGTGCGTGGATATCGGGTAGAGGAGTTCCTGGAAACACAAATTTATTTTGGTCAATGAATGACTGCGAAAAGGCTTGCATAGGTGAGTGCTCACGTTTACTATATTCTTCTAGCATGTGGCGTTGGAAGACTTCTTTGACAGTGTGAAAAATAACTTAAGAAATAATATAAACGGATGCTTTCACTTATAACTGTGGACGGCATTCAAATGACACAGAAATTAAAAATCAGATATTTTTTCAGTAGGCAAAATTATTGCATGGAAACAAAACTGCTGGATATGTACGGTTTTTGAATAACAAAAATATATATTTTTTAACAGTTAGAGGATTAGCTGTAAAAGAATGTGGCTAGAGGTAACACCATCTTTTGCGTCTCGCATAAGCTTGTGATAATTGAGTTTAAATGGTTCAGTGTTTCTTGTTTTTGACAAGAAATACTCAAACATTTAAATCAAGTAATGGAATAATTAGCGTCCTTCCTCAGATCTTTGTAGCTGCGAAGTTCATTTGACATTACGGCTGGTTACGACAATTAAAAGTGAGAAGTGTTATTACATTTAGGATGGTGTTCCTGTAAGTGGACCTTTGTACATTTAACTTAACGGCATCACTCAGCCATCGACTGCAAGCATCGTTTCTTTGAACAGCGAAGACGAACGTTAAGTTTAAATTCTGACGGAAGTAATTAACTTCGAAATTTAGTTTCAAGCAGAGATTACAGTTGTATTATTATCCTGCCGCAGAGCTCACTTGCACTTAATCCAGCTGCGGTCGGTGAGAGGCTAAGATCCCAGTACACGCTCTGGCTCCCACGCGTGGACGTAGCCTTGCTGCGGTTTCTCTCTGAGTGTTCGAGAATTATTTATACAAGGCTGAAAGCTGGCCATAGAGGCGGAGCACCCACTGACTTCTTAACCTGTCACCGACTATACGGCTGGGCATGAATCATAGTCGAAAACTAAATTATCTTAATAAATACAATTTCAATTAGTATAGAGCACTCACCGAAGCTAAAAAAATACGCTCATTTTAAAATGTATACGGCGGACAGCATCGCATCACCCCTGAAATCTGTTGACTAAATAACAAAGAAAAAATGTGTCTGGCACGAAACTACGAGATATGTTAGCGTTATGAGCTTTTAAAGTGACAGAAGATTGTTCGGGTTGACTAATATGCCAACCGTGATTCACAAAATTATTATTTCATAGGTGTAATACTATGCACCACTAAAATATCGTGAGTGACAAACCTATATGATAGCACCACCAAAAGCAATACGGGTAACGTAATATAAATTTCCCCAAAATTATACCAAGATATGCTAACTAAGCATAGTTCCGGACCTAGAACACCTGTATGTTTCACGCGTTATTCCATGAAGATAATCGAGGACGTGTTACTGGGTAATTGGGAGTTAGATGTTCAAAATGCGACAAGCAAGTGCTGTGGCCTATGTTTTAGTTTTTTTTACAATGCCAGATTTTGCGTTGTTAAATAAATGATTTCGCTTCCTGTGTCTAGGGGCACATAGGTGTAGACCTGAGTATCATGAGAGGAGATTTTCCAAATGTTCTCTCATCAATATACTTCAGAAATTGTTTTAAAAACGAAGTATACTAAACTATCACTGGAAATAGAGGTTACGTTGGCGGACTGGGAATTTTGATAACTTGGACCTGGGAATTAGCTCTCTCAGTTTTGTAATTTACTCACAGAAGAAAAAACAAACACAAATGTTTGTTCTACCAAGTAAACTTCGATGACCATAAACGTAGACTAACTCTAATTGCTGCATGATGGAGCACGTATATAATCAGGCAAAGGAGGACATAACCGCGCGTATGCTGCGCAAGCTGTTTCACAGGAGTAAGTGTCACAGCTGGCCGCTCCCGCTTGCAGCATTTGTGGTTAGTTAATATTAGGGGAATCGAATTATGTGGATATATCTTCTGGTTATCCAATAAAGTTTTCTTTAGCCGGACTCCCTTTAAAATAATTGGATTATTTTCACCTCACAAATGAACTACGCATATCCGAACGCTTGGTATTCAGCTCAATGTACCCCTTGGAGTCTATATCGGATGCAAATGTTTCAGCACAAACCTATATATTATTCAATGATTAAAAGTGATATTTTAAAACGTTCAATAGCGAAATGAGCCCTTCCCGCTAGTTGACGCCATTAATGTTCGTACATTCGCGGGCTTCTTTGGCCGCAATTTTTATATCTGAAATACCTAAAAATCGCTTCTAAATTTCAAATGACATAACGGAATGGTATCAAAAGTAGGCATTTGAACCCTACCACTATTGCTGTATTTGGGCGCAGACCGATCGTTCGGCGATGATTAAGGTTATTTTGCGGTTAGTAACTACGTAGTTACTTTCTAAGCACCTACAGGGAGTCGGTCACACTGTAGGTGCTTGGAAAGTAACTACCTCGTGTATTACATCCACCGACATTGCAAATTCCACCGATATTTGTTGCCCTTTATATATGTATAGCGATAAAATGGGGAGTATCAGGCTCACTTAATTGCCAGCTGGGGTCCTGCGCTGCAGTGGAATGGAAGCTTGGGCTGATTTTCGAGCTACCCATTCTAAAGACAATTTCGAAGTAGCCAGACTTTAAACTTTCCGGAGTGTTATTTATTATTTCTAAATTCAAAATAGCTATTTAGGAAGCCGCAAATGAAGATGATACAAAAAAATAAATAAACTTTTCCGCGCTATAGGGGTGACGTCACATGCAAATTTGCAAGCCGAGCAGGCACCCTAAAAGTAGTGTTTTGCATATTTGTTGTTTTAGGTTTCTGGCGCAAGCTAAACGAGCATTAATTTTACAACATCAAATTTCTTGTATCCCGTGAATAAAGAGCTCCCCTTTCACAATAATACCCCATATTACATCTGACGTCACGGTTTCAGTGTTACCAGGGGAGGCTCAGCCCCCGATACCAAAATTGAATCCTTACCTTTTCGAAAGGTTATTGTGACCTCCACTTTGTATGGGCTACTAGTTAAGATTATGTCTTTTAGAAATAAGTGTTATCTTTAAGCTAATGCGCTTTTCCTCTTCCTAATTTATATATCACTTTTTCCTTTTCTTCAAAATATGCATGCGTTTGGTGTGCCTGCCTTTTATGCAACACTGCATGTATGTGTAAACGGTGCACCCTTATGTAAGCCGTCAGGCTGTTTAGGGGCACCGGAAAAGTACTAACAAATAAATAAATAAATATGATAATGTCATGAACCGAATTTGAGGCATATCAGTGGCTATCAAGGTTTTACCAGAACTTCTATTTACGTGCACACGTTTCTAGAAACGCTTCTAAGGATGGCTCGAAGAAGTGAAAATTTGTATGCATGGCTTCAATTGGCGGCTAAAGCCCTCGGATGAGTTCACTTGTCCCCGTAGCTTTCACTTCACTGCAGCCCATCGTGAAGTTAACTCTCTAGTACAACTTGAAAATTAAAAAGGTGCCCGGTAGAAAGTTGTCTGTGGGAAATTATGCATGCAACGTCGTATAAAATTTAAGTACACAGCAAAAACGCACTATCTTCTCAAAGCACAATATGCATATTAAATAGCGTGCAAGGTTATATTAGAGTGGTCGCCCGAGAAGCACCCTCCGCCATAACTCTAATTGTAATTTTATAATGAGCGCGTGTACTTATTGTTGTTCATTCTTTACACAGCAAAGCATCAACCTGCATGGACACCATGGACATATGTACTCGAAGAACTTAGTACCTTGCCCTATGAGCAGGAAATCTCAGGGAGGCAAGATATCGCATAAAGACAAAGCGTCCAGTAAGGCAACAGAGCAATAAACTTCTCAATTATGCAGAATATGTGTTCGTTTATGGGCCTTCGTGCCACATATTTAAATAAAGTATTTCACGGAGCGACAGTACTCACCAATAAATAGGCAAAGGCAACCATATTTCAAGTGCTTCGGCTTTATCAAGTATGCAGCGTTACTCCGAGGAACATAGCGCCGGTTGCGAAATTCTTGAAACTAAGATACTGGAGCGAAAGAGTCACCTTAAATCTTTAAAGCTCCATAAAGAGACATAAACGCTCTTGCTTTCGCAGTGATATTCTTTTAATCTTTCTCTACAGTATTGCACCCGATTACTTCACAAATTTCTCTAGCATCTTAACGGATTAAATTATATAGAAACCAGACTCATAACACCAGATATGAAACGTTCGAGTAGTCATTGCAACGCAGTAATGAGTGCTCGCAAAATTAGTACAGCCGTATTTGAGCGCACTTTTGAAAGAGGGCCACAATGGTAAAGCACTCTTAGAAAAAAGGGTATCGATAGTTTTCCATAAGGGAAGGAACGGTCTTGTAACCTATGTTCCTTTAAAAAGGGAGAAACTTTCGTCCCTGAAGCAGGGGAGCAAAGCTCCACCGTCGCCTGCATCTCATTATGGTGGCCCCGAATCGAGCAAATCGAGCTCAATAAGGCTTAACGAGGATGCTACGTCTCTTGTACGGGACAAGAGGAGCAGCAAATAAAAGCGTAACACCAGCTTTCCGCGAACTGTTTTTATTTCCGAAGGCAGATTCCCGCCGCAGGTACAAAAACTTGCGTTTCAAAAGCAGTTTCTCAGTCTTCTGGTCGTCAGGACTCCGATTTTACAAGGAGACAACCGATACCCAGTTACTTCACGCACTTTGCGTCTTACCCTTTCTGTTCCTCGAGTGACAGTTCCCTCGCCAACCGCACATCACGGAGGAATGGCAAATTAATCCGCGAAACCAAAAGCCGCTCTCATAAGAGCAAACTCGAAGCCGCTGTTTATCGCGTAACGTGAAAGAAGGTTAAATCGCTTGCCACCAGATGGCAGGGTCAAGCAGAGTAATTGTAAGTGGCTAGGCTAGATGGCGCTAGCTACCGCCCAATTCGTGTTCTAAAAAAAAAAAAAAGCATTTTTTGATATCATCATTGCGCTTCGGGATCCTCTGCTATACACACATATAGACATATTACGCATACTACAAGCATCAGCTAAACATACATTGAGCGCATGCACATACATGGCACATACAAACATCAATACAACGGCTCACTAACTTAATGACTACACCCGAGCTCTGCGTTTCTGTCTTTTATATTGGTCGTTTTGAAGTTTGAACGTAGGGAATTTCTCGGTGACTGCCTAAGAAACAAAAAAATATATATATATTTCCAGCATGTTGATTTTTCGCCAGCAATGTCATACCTCTGAGAGTATTTTGAATGGCTTAGGGGATGAATCTCTTAATAAAACAAAAACGCTCGATAATGCTGTATTCATTTGAAAGCCAATAAACCAAGCCGCTCTAATGCGGTTCGAAGCCATGAGTTTGTTTCCCCGCATGGCACGTCGTAGCCAGTATTTCTATTGTAGTGTTTGTTTTGCTAATTGTGCTGTTCGCGCACGGCTGCAATTGCCGTCTTGAATTAATCTCTGTAGAACGGATATTCCCTCTGCTGGAAGTGATGCTTCACGGGCAGAGGAATCACTTTTCGATCAACTTGAATGCAGTCAAAGCCGCTACTTGCGGCAGGTGTAAAGTGTACTGAGCTACGCCGTGGCGACTTCGAAAACTTCTAGCGCTCATCCCAGAGTGCCACTTGGAGGGCAGTTTCTCCAGGAACCGTTGTATATTTAACCAGCAAAATAAACGATAGTTTTTTTTCGATTTTACCTATTTTTTTAATGCTAAAATTCCTTACTGTAAATATGCGTACTTTTTGTCAAAATTTCGTACTGTTCAGTCCTTTCCCCAGAGCGCAATCGCTCTCGGGGAGGAGGCAACCGACAGTCGCATTGGCCACTGTACGATAGGAGCTTACTGTTCTTACCAGTGTTCCAACATGACTATCTGCACGTCGATCGATTGCGCCTAATCCCTTAAGTGGTCACAAACTTTTTAATGTAGAGCGAAATGTCAACCTGCGACACCCCGCCCCCTCCGCTCATGGTCCGACCAGCGGAAGCAATGCCCGACAGTTTACGTCATATCTACTTGTTGCTACACCACTGATACGCGAACACACGGCCACATCGACGATAATTCCAATCTTCTGTTCACAACGCACCACACTGCCATCACGATGTTGCTGCTATGTTGCTGACACGCAGAAATACAGAACCACGTTGATTGCCGGTTGGGACTCGGCATGGGTAAACAGAACCGAACTCAGCACGGAAAGCACCAAGGGAGCCAGCAGCAAAACTTGCCTGTCTTGGACGCAGCTCCTGCGATTTCCATAACGTCGACAACGTCGACACAGTTCCGCGTGGTTCCGCTACTGTAGCACTGTTGTTCCAACTCCGAGTGGATCCCGCAGTTCGGACTCAGACGGTCATTTTACCCCATGTACGTAGCGGTGCTGGCACTGCTCCGGAACTTCGCTGTTTCTAGCGGCTTCGTTTGCTCGTTTGATAAAATTAGTGGTAAAAACGTCAATGCAACTGAAATGTCCTGCACGTTAGGACTAGAAGACGAAATTACAGGCAACCTTTGCTGCCGCTGAAGCTCAACCCAGCTAGCACAGAACATTGCAATTACGTTGTCCGGAAGTTGTGGCATCAATGTTGTCTACATGGTTTCATGTCACTTTGATCAACCGTGTAATAATGTTCGAAATGTATATTTATGTAACATTTGGAAACAATTTGGCAGCAACATTATGAATAAAATATTGAAGGCAAAATTGTGAAGTAATATATTGCCGCGCGCGCAGCTGGCCAAGTAGGCAGCGCGCGCGTGGCCTAACGGTTATCGCGCTTGCTTTCCAAGCTGAAAGCCAGGGTTCGATTCCTGGCCGCGGAGGCACATTTTTTGTTGACTCTGTAAAGTAATGTTCTGGTAAATTCGAGAACCGTGTTGCTTGTTCGAGGTCGGAATGTTCTACACGCCGAACCTTCCACGCCGATTATTCCAGAAGCCCACACGTGTACATAGGGGGCTCCGCGTGGCGATCTGCAGTCAGTCTCGCCCGAGCGCTCGATCCTGCGGTTTCGCCGACTTCGACGCCCGCGACGCTTTGTTAATATCTTTTGTACTCTTTTATTTTTGGCACAAGTTCGCCACATTAAATGTTTGTTTCTTCCTGTTCATCTATTGTTTTTGGTCACCACCCGTGACAATATCAAGAACATCCTGAAAAAAATATTTCTCGAACGTTCTAACACAACATTGGTAGCATGTTGTAGAAATACCGTTTCTGAAATGTCAAAAAATATCTATAAATTAACATAACAAAAAAATATCTGAGACGTTAAAAAACAACATTACTAGACTGTTGTATGAGCATTGTTTTTTTAAATATTATGAAGTGTAATTAAAATAACATTATGAAGAAATATTTTTGAAATATTTGTTAAAAACATCTGTACAATGTTACAGAAAGATGGTTTCTCAAATGTTGTGAAATATTTTAAATAACATTAGGAATATATATTTTAAAAACGTTATAAAACAACTTTTCTTAATGATGTGCAAATATGGTTATTGCAATGTTACAAAAGATCATAAAAAGAACATTTTATTACGGCTTATTTAATGGTATAAAATAGAAATTTGAAAACATTTCTTTAAGAATTTTCAGTTGTTATATTTAAAATACAATAGTATTTTAAACTCAACAATTGAAAAAGTTCTAGAAAATGTTTTCCCATCTTTATTTTAAATCATTAAATAAGCATTAATATTGTAAAGTTATTTTAATATAACTTCTGGTCTGCTGCTGACTTTGGCAAGACGCGCGTCAAGCTGCTAAGGCGTGCTCCGCATCGGAACTTTTCGTCTGCCATTCGGCAACAAACGTCGCAGCCACACCGAAACCGCAGCGTCACGGGACCTCGTGCGAAGAACGGGCAAGAAGCGCCCGCCTCCGTATTCGCCGACGTGGCGAGCTGCGTGGCGTTATTCCGGATGAGGAGCCAGAGATCCGTTCCCGAGTGATAGCGCCCCGGTTTTGAAAGGGAAAGCCCGCACGGGTGGTCGCCCTTCCAGGCACGACGAAGGTGAGGCTACCGAGTTTGAAGTTTTTGGCTGGTTGTGTCTAGCACTGAAGGGTTTGCGATGGACTGCCTTGTATGCTCAAAGTCTCTCCCTTCCGATGGGAAAAACTTAACTTGTGTCAAATGCGAATTCTCCTACCATTGGATATCATGTGCTGGGGTGGCGGAGAAAACTTTCAAAACTATGGGCCCTGCGAAACGCGAGGCGTGGAAGTGTAAAACTTGCCGCCACAAGGACTCTCGCTTGGGTATGGAATGTAGTCAGCTTGACTCGCAGGGTCGTTCTGGCGGTTCGACGACTCTCGATAAGGTGAATTGAAAGCTTGATATGTTGTTGTCGATTAAGTCGAGTGTTGATACGTTGCTACCTTTGCCGGCTAAGGTCGAGGAATTGCTGGCCCTTAAACCCGCTGTGGAAGACCTAAAGGTTCAAGTCGGTGAACTCCAAGCATCAGTTGAATTTTTTTCTGCCCAGTACGATGCAGTGTTGGAGTCGATCAAGAGTAATGACGAAAAGACCGGCCGTCTTGAGGGGGAACTGTTGGAAGTCAAGAGCCTTGTGGCGGAGCAGTCTCGCACCATTCAGCAGCTACAGAGCGACCTAAGTGATACACAGGCGTTAGCAAATAGAACTACTATGGAAATTCACGGTATGACAGATAGCCAAAATGAGAACCTTGGTCTGGTTTGGAACCAGATTGCAACAAGCTTGGAGCTCCCACCCCCTCTACAAACTGACGTAACTGAACTCTACCACCTGCCGTCTAG